GTGGTGCGTTTCAGAGTTTTTCAGGTGCGTTTCAGGTGCGTTTCAGCTTTTTTCCAAGGTTTTTGCTTGTTTTTTGTATTGTCCCTGGCAGGACGGCCCGGGGCTACCGGAAGGTGTCGCACGGGTGCCAAGAGGCCGTGCTCGAAGCTGGGCGGTCGGCAGGACCTTCGGTGGCGGCAGCCTTGGCAGCACAGGGCCACTTCAGTGGCAAGGCTGCGGCGGCTGGCGGCAAGGAGGTTCGACGAAACAAAGAGAGACCAGGCAAGTTTCTGGAGGCCGAGCGTCTCTCTTACGTGGCAGCTGGCAGGGCCTCTTTTGCTCAGACGACCGTGCTGAGTGTGGTGGCCGATGCGGTGCACGTCGGAACAGAAGATTGGCTCAACGTCTTCGTGTGTGACCCCGGGCAGAACTTGTCGTTCGTCTGCCCGCCGCAGGCCGTGAGGGAGGGCGGCTTGAAACCTTTTACTAGAGAGGTATGTTTGCAGAGGGGCTCTAAACTGCTTGAATTTTGGTTCCCTTTCTGATAGCAGAAAACCTGCGGTTTAACGGCGCCTAAAAAAACCAACGGTTTAACGGCGTCAATTGCGCAAACCAAAAACCTGCGGTTTTACGGCGTCTAAAAAAACCAACGCTTTTACAGCGTCAGTTTTCGCGGGGGGGGGGGGGGGCCTATCCCTGGACCCAGGCCTGGCCCTTCTAGCCTTACTACTGGGCCTGGACCCCAGGTCCCCAGAAACCTGCGGTTTACCGGCGCCTAAAAAAACCAGCGGTTTAAAGTAGGTCATTCCGCGGGCCAGAAAACCAGCAGTTTAACAGCGTCAAAAAAAACTGGCCAAAACTGGTCCAATTTTTTTCCATTTTTGGGCGTTTTTTTATAGTTTTGCGGACTGTTGTTTTGGTAGGTTTAGAGCGACTTCGTACGACCTCTTTTAGGTGCATGTCGGTAGCCATGTTGTTTGTGTGCCGTGTCTGGCGACAGCAACCAATGTTTGGTCGCATCTGTAGATCCGAAAGGAGCACCAAAGCAAAGGCCCTAAACCAAATATCGAACAATCGGCACACACCAAGCTCAGATCCGACAGAAGCAACAAAGCAAAGGCCCTAAACCAAATAAAGAACAATCGAAACACCCCAGAAAGCTCGCAGCCCCTTAGGCAACCCGCTTCTGGCTTTGGGCTTTGCCGGGTGGGTTTAGAGAACCAACAGACCTAGCACTCCTGAAGCCCTGCAGAGCCTCCGAAGGCACAGTCTTTAGGGTTTTGCTTTGCCTCCTTTGCACAGGTTCAGAAGGGGACGGTCGTCACCAAGGAGTGGGTGGACTTGTGGCAGGGCCGTCTCACGAGCTTCTTCAAGGCCGGCGGAGGCAGAGGGCGGGGTCGTGCGGCAAACAGAGAAACGGGAGGCACGAAGCAGCCTGAAAGGCTTGCCACCCAGGACTGGTTGAGGGACGTGTCCCACAGTCTCGGGGCGATCGGCTGGGGCTGGTCGTCCTGTGGTCGTTCGGAGACCGCAGCAGCGGGAGCAAGGCCTGTCGCCATGGTCTTCTGCACGGACCAGGAGGCCACCCAGTTGTCGGCCCTGTCCTACTTGAAGTTTAGCCGTTCGCTGCTGGTAGAGCACGTCAACGACCCTGCCCACAGGTCGCACAACGACGTTCACTTGGCTCTGGCAGCAGCAGGTCTCTTGACGTTCGGGCTCATGTCGTTCGGGCTGTACAACGTCCGCTACGGCCCATGGAACAAGGGCACGTGGTTCGGCAAAGTGCAGCAGACGGCGGACGAGATGAGCCGTTCGATGAGTGCATCGGACCCTCTTCTGGTCACCTTCTTCCCCGACATTTTGGCGGACGAGGGCCGTTCGCAGGAGGAGAACACCGTGGAACACCGTCGCTTGTTTCTGGAGTCGCTGCCAAACAGGTCGTTCGTTCGAGCCAAAGGGTCGAAGGCTTCGCCGTCGCGGTTTAACAGCCTGTCGATCGCACATGCGGAACTCGACCCGGAGTGGTCGTCGTTTTGCTTGGTGCTCGCCGTCTTGTGCATCAACGAAGGGTGGGTCAAGAAGGCGTCGGACTTGTGGTCGCCCGATGCCCCTGGCACTTCGGAGCAAGCTGCTACCACCAGGGCTGCCGCGAAGTCCGCAGCTCGCAAGGCCTTGGCTCAGCAGCGAAGCCGCACGGTGAACACTCTGCACTCGATGACGACGTTCGCTTGCAATGCCGACAACAGGTCTCTCGCCAGAACCGTGTTTTTCGTCTTGCAGCCCGAGGGCCTCAGGTGCTCGAAAATGCTCGAGGAGCTGCGGTCTCCCGAGTCGACCGTGAGGTACTTCAGCGAGTGGGCGCACTGGGGCTACATGGCCACAGCTAGGGAGCACGTGGGTCGTTTTTCGGACCTCGCCTTGGTTCAGCGTGTCGGGCTGGACATGTCCATGGACTCGCCCTTGCTTGCTGCCTCGGACGACAACGGACGTTCGGAGGCAGAAGCAGCTCTGGCCTGGCAGGACTGTGTGGCCCGTCGCCTCGCCAAGCTGACACAGCGACTGCTCCGCTACCGTTGTGGGAGTCAGCTGCCGTCCACCAACGGGTGGGGGGCAACCGCAGGCCTGCTTCACGACTCCATAGCCTGCCGCCAAGCAAGTCTCCGGTTTTTGGACGAGGTGGACAAGGTCGTTCGGAAAGTCAAGGAGGAGGGCTCTCTGGAAGCTAAGTCGTTGCTCGAGGGTCACCCTGCAACAGCACCTCTGCTGGCCTTGGTTTTGGGAGAGCTGCGTGCCGGTGCGTTCGTGGAAGTCGACCCGGACACCCAGGACTTTCTGCGTCGGCTGTGGGCAGGCTTGCTCAACAGCAAGCTCGTCGAGGATGGGAACAAGGTCCAGCGAGAAGCGGAGCAACGAAACGGCTCAAACAAGACTTTGGGCCGGGTCGAAGGCTGGCACGGTCTCTCACGTTCGCTCGTCCTCAAGTCGTACGAGCGCCCGGAGGTGGCCACCGTGGGCATGGCCGAACTTCCAGGCGGCTTTCAAGCGGAGGACTGGTTCGTTCGCCGCAAGCGTGTGCGGCAGGAGCAGGGCCAGTCGTCCACGGGAGCGGCCTCTTCGTCTTCGCGAGCAACCAGGGCAAGCGAGGAAGAGGACATCTTCGTCGGCGTCAGCAGCACGAGAACCTGGGCCTCGCACACACCGGAGTCGCAGCAGGACAACCTGGCTTCCTTCTCCTTGCTGGCCAAGGTTGTTCGAGAGAAGAGGGATTGGTCGTTCGTGGAAAAAGGCTGGTGGGCATCGCTGCTGCCCGAGGGCTGTGGCCTGGCCTTTGAGGGGTGCCCGCCCTGCTTCGTCGTTCGCAGCTACAAGCGTGCTGCTTTGGTCTGGCCAGCAACGTTGGAGCCGCTCGGCGACGGCAGCGAGAGGCTCGTCCTGCAAGCCGACGTGGCCTCGCTGTGCTGGGTGCACACCTTCGACGACAACGTGGTCGTCTTGGACCTTGCGGCCACGTCGCCCCTTCGTGCCCTGTGAGCTTTTTGTTTTTTTGGTTTTCTCAGCCTTTTTTAATTTTTGCAAGTTCTAGTCTAGTCAAGCAGGAAGCCCTAAACCCTGCCGAATCCCTAAGCCTAACCAATCCAACGAGGCTAGAGCTTGCACCCTACATCTAGACTTTAAACCCTATAAAGCCTTAATACCTAAACCCTCCGCTTCGACCCCTATACCTATACCCTACAGACCCTTAGCCAGAAGAGCCCGTTTTAATAACGAGCCACGATGCAGGTTGCTGCTCTCTGGGCGAGACACGGGGTCTCGGAGTGGTCTTCCGAGTTGTGGCCAAACGGCCCTTGCTGCAGCACCACGAGCAGTAGGACTTCGCTGGCGTCTCCGAGGCCGCTCTTCGGAAGCTGGGACTGAACAAAGGTTGGCTTCAGGAGGCCACGGACACCGGCCACGACGAGGACGATCGCCTGGCGATCAGCTGCCTTTTGTCGTTGGACCCGACTTTGACGAAGGAGGAGGTCCTGGGCCGCTTGCTCCATCGGAACGAGGCATCGTCGTGGGGCGAGGGGGCAGGCGTGGACTTGGAAGAGGTCGTGCGAGATACGATGCTCGCTGCCGACCAAGACCAGGCCCTGAGGCAGATCGCGGCAAGGAAGGCCTCTCAACAGACTGCTCTGGAAGTTCGGAAGCGTAGCAGCAAGACTTACGACCACGTCTGCAAGAGCTTTGCCAGCCGCCCTGCCTTCAAAGCAGGACAGGCCGCTCGAAAAAAGAAGGAGAAGCAGGCCGAGAAGTTTGCCAAGGAAAGGGCAGCCGCCATCGCAAGACACTACGACGACGTCGACGAGAACGTGGACGAAGTGGTGAAGGCGAGCCAGCCGGTCGCCGTTCGGGTCTACAGGGACGACCGGAACGGGCGATGGAAGCTGAGTTACTCCACTGTCTGGGCTTACTCGTCTCGCAGCATCTCCTGGACTGCCGTCGGAAGTAAGCAAGCTGGAGCTGAGGCCGTCCGCCAAGGGTGGAAGTGGGCGGAGGTCTTCGAAGGCCTAGAGATGCCCGAGGAAGCCGGCAAGATCCTGAAGAAGCTGGAGGCCTGAGCGACGGCATGTCGCCCTTTGCTTTGTCGTCGGAAGAGGCTCTTCGTCGCAAGGTCGTTCGTAGGTTTTTTGAAGAGCAGCGGGCACTGGAGTCCTCGCAGCCGCAGAAGCCAAAAAGACTGCTTCGTCAGAGCTGAGACAGACCAGCGTGGAAGTTTCCTTTGCCTAGCCCTTCTAGAGCTTGAAACCCGACGTTTCCTTGTTTCGGCCCAGGTCGGTTTGCAGAAGAAGAGCCGGGGGATGCTTCTTGGGCGACTCAGACTCCGAGGCTGGGAACCGTCCTGTGTGCTTCGCCTTGCAGTTGCAGAAGCGTGGGGTTTGCCAGTTAGCAGTTTGTAGACGTCGGACTGCCTGCAAGCCTGAACTTCATCTGCAGCACAAATTTTCGGTTGGAAGGGCTTCTAAAGCTAAGTTGCTGTCATGGGCCGGCCGAAGCTGGCAGAGACGGGTGGCAGCAGGCCACCGAGTGCGTATGCGCTCTTCTGTGGCTGGGTCGCTCGGGAAGGCCTGACGGTCGCTCAGGCCGCTCGTCGCCGCATCCACGGAAAGAGGATGGTTCGAGACAAGCCCTCCATGAGTCTGAAGTGGTGCCCTAGCTGAGTGGGATGCTTTCTAAGTATTTAAGACTTCAGAATAAAGCATTGTTTAAGGGTGGTGCGTTTCAGTGTTTTTCAGGTGCGTTTCAGGTGCGTTTCAGCTTTTCTCCAAGGGTTTTGCTTGTTTTAGTGCTTTACGGCTACAACTGTTGCCAAGTCGCAGTGAGTAGGTGTTTAGCATGACACACAGCTGGGTCCTTCTGCCTTCACATAGTCATAGCAAAGCGGGATCTGCTGAAGAGCCCTGGACTCTCGTGTTTAGTATATATTACTATACTGTATAAGACATTGTGAGTCGGTAAACCCTAAGTATAAGACCCATTAGGAAAGGGTGGTGCGTTTCAGAGTTTTTCAGGTGCGTTTCAGGTGCGTTTCAGCTTTTTTCCAAGGTTTTTGCTTGTTTTATGTCTATACAGTCTATACAGAAGGCGTGATGGTATAGATAGTGCAGTTTCTCTAAGGTTTCAAACACTTTGGCTCGAAACCAAACAGACCTGAACCTTCCATTTTTTCATTCTAGTAGTAGCCTTTCAGTTTTCGTCTGAGGCTTGCAGAACTCGACCCCCTATCCTGACTGAGACCAAAGACCCAACACATAAATACGTGTATCCCAATCGAAGCTCGGCTCGCCTTGTGCTTTGCCTCCGCTCAGGAAGCACAAGAAAAGCAAGGACATTCGGAAAAGGTTTTTCGCAGAGGCCAGACAGCATTACGAGGACAACCGCAACAAGGCCACCGCTTTTCTGAAAGGGCAGGGACCTCCGGCTGCTGCAGTGAAACAAAACGAGGGAAGCAAGGACGTTCGGAGGGCAGAAGAGGACGACGAGAAGTGGCGTGACACACAGGACGTGCTCCTGGACGTCTGGACTTGGACTCTCGGGTTGCCACTGGGGCCGCTGGAGCCGGCAGGCGAGGGGTCCTACGGCATGGTCTTTCGCTCAAGCTTCCAACACCAGCCGCTCGTGCTGAAAGTGGCTAAAGGCCGAGGGCCAGAGGGCATGCGACAGGTCGCTGCGGCCGGACAGGAGGTTGCGGACGAGTTCGGCGTTCTCACAGCCGTCGGCCAACACCCAAACGTCGTGCGAGCGTTCGCGGTTCTCACCAGCTCCCTTGGTCGGCCGGCCTTGCTGCTGGAGGCAGCCACGGAGAGCTTGCGTGCCGCCACTCGCAGGCTCAAAGACGACCGAGTCTCCTGGCCGACAAACCGCAAGACACTTCTGCCGTTCTTCCAGCAGTTCCTGCTCGGCCTCTCGTACGTGCACGGCCGTTCGTTTTTGCACCTCGACATCAAGCCAGGCAACATTCTGGTCTTTAACGACGTCCGAGCTGCCGTCGCCGACTTCGGACTCGCCCAGAAGGTTGTGCAGGATGGCTGTTCGGTCATCGGCAGTCGGGCCTACAGCGAAGCTTTCCGCTGCCCGGAGTGCCTCCTTGCAGCCGACAATCTGAAGTCTCCAGAAGCCACTGAAATCGCCCAATACTCGTCAAAATTTCGATTAGTTCCTAGTTTCTGAATAAGAGTTCGAAGCCTAGTGCAGAACCCCGGCCCCTTCAGCCCTTTACTCACATGACCCCTGGAGGTGCGAGTGACGTTCGCAGCAGACGTCTGGGCGGCGGCCGTGACCTTCTTCGAGACTTTCTGCCCGCCGAAGACGTCGCTCTGGAAAGTCTCCCCGCAGACGTTCGTGCGGGAGACGGAGGATCACTGCCAGGTCTGTTCGCGACATGGCCACTCAGCTTTCGGCCAAAGTGATGCCGTACGACAAGATCATGCTCCAGGTGCTCGAGAGGTCGTTCGTGCCGGCAAAACAGAGGCTGTCTCTTGCCACCTTCCTGGCTCTGACTGAGAAGCCGGTCACTCCAAGGCCGCTCGCTGAATGAAAGTAGGTCGACCGTGAGATTTGCACAACGATGGCTTCGCGAGCGATGAGAAAAGACTCACAACCCATGAGAGTTCGATTGCTGCTGTGTCTGCCTCGCTGACCCTTAAGAAGTTTCTGAAAGTAGACCGTCAAGCCTCCTTGCTTTGTGCCAGGTCTTTCGACGACACCTTCGTTCAGCAGCAGACTGCTCCGGTCGCCTCAAACTGGCAGATTTGGCACTCGTGCTGCTTCGCACCTATCGTCGTTCGAGTCGCCTTCGGAAAGGCACTCTAACTACTGATTGGATAAGAAATACTTATTCTCAGCAGCATGCCCCAAACTTGTGTAAGCTCAGAAATCTTGAGTAGGAGACAACAGTGATGAATATACAATGGGCCAAACCAGAAAAAGTGCCAATCGTTTAGGCACCCGAGACCTGCAACGAAGCATTAGGTGCTGTTGCAGATGGATAGTTGAACATAGAATGCACTAGCTGCCTTTCCTGTGTTTTGCAACACTTAAACAAGTTTTTCCGAAGTTTTTCTCAGCCTCCGTAAACCCGAACACAAGCAACACTCCTACACTGCATGAGGCATCTTTTTTTCGCTTGTGCCACGATGTGTTTCTGCTTGCCCAAAGAGATTTTGCAGTGCCCAAAACTGTCAAGAGAATGATGTATCTTGAGACCGCAACCATACGAAAAGCATGCCTCCAAGCAAAGGTGCTGAACAACCCTGCATGCATACCCTACACACCCATGTAAGCCCTCGGAATTTCCCGACTTTTGACACGAGCGGCTATGAAATCAGCTGCATTTCGGGCAGTGAAAAGCATCAAAAAGAGCCAACGACAAGCATCATCGAAATTGAGCCGCCGAAACAACTTCCCAGATGCCGGTTTTCAGCCTTGCCGTATCCAGGCCCCCCAGGGCCAAAACCAGCGCTTTAAAGTAGCCTACCTTTTAACGTAGGTAATCCGGCCGCCCAAAACAGGAACCGGCTAAGCGCAGCTCATCACATCCGTCTGGGCTCCAGAATACTCAACGCAGCTCAGAAAGTAGATTTAGGATGTCGGATAACGGGCTTCCCGAGACTCCCCGAGTCCTAAGCAGGCAAAGCTGTCGCCACGGAGGATGAGGTGCAGTGCCGAGCAAATTCCAAGACTGTTCCTGAAAGTTCACTGATTATTACAACTGTATGTTATAGTATATCACGAAGCCTTGTTCCACTTGTTTAGGCCCACAGACGCCAGTCGCAATCGCTCTGAGTCTTGAGGTGGAATAGAGCTTAGGGTTATATCGGTGGCAATAGCGATTGGAGGTTGGACTTTTTGAAAAACATCTTCAAAGTAGTGGCACCGCCTTAAAGCCTAACTTGAAAGTCCTGCAAAGTTTCAGCTCCGGCGCCGCACACTTCTGGCCCCCTCCCTGTCTCCCAGAAGTATACATCCACAAGCCCGCTGTTTGTCGACATGCATTCAGCAAAGAATAAAAGAGGGAGGGCGAGGCAGAGACGCGAGAGGAGGAGAGGGATCCCGGCTTCGAGCTTTCATGCCGACCCTGTGCAGGTAGTCCCGACATCCTAAACTCCCGAACTATACCGCCCCCCAGCCCAAAAAAAGAGTTGCAGAAGTTGCACCCCAACTTCGAGCCACATCCACCAACCAGAGCTATAAATTGAGCAGGTGTAACCCGGGCCTTGCCTTGGACGCACCGTCCGGAAAGAGCTCAGGCCCCGGTGCCTGGCACTGCCCGGTAGTGGGAGCGTCTCGGGTTTGGAGGGCTGAGGGCTTAGGGCTTAGGGTGGTGTCCTGTTTAGTCTATCATAAGGCTTTGTTTTAGAAGAAGGTCTGGGATCTATGGTGTAGGAACGTTACGTTTTCCTGTTATGCGTGGTTGGCGCAGCCTGCTTGCCTGCCTGTCTTCCCCATAAGTAGGCAGACGTGCGGATAGTGGGAACGTCTAGGGGCTGAAAATCTGCTTGCAGCCCAAAGCCAAAAGTAATTGCAAGAGGGTTTTGTTTCACAACAAGCAAGTTTGGGTTGCAAGTGGGGTTTACAAAGTCCGCCTTCGTAGGATGTTGAAGTCCAGGCTATGGGCTGCATCAGGTTTTGCTGTGTTGAGTGTCTGTGTTTGGGCATTCAGCTGATCTGAAAAGTTCTACAGATTTGCCGACTTGCACACGTACATACCTTCTTACACACATACATGTACGACACACACACACATATATATATATACATATTTTATATACAGATTATGCATATACGTACGTACATCGATTTCACACATGCGTACCTGCAACTACACCTGTGACTACAGCGAGCGAGCTAATCCAGGCTCTGTGGCTTCCTTGCCGCGCTCCGAGTTTACCTCTTCCAAGGTGCGGCGTAGGTTTGTTGAATGGGATTAGGGTTTAGGATTTAGGGTTTATGGGGCTCATGGGGTTTGGGCTTTAGGACTAAGGGTTAGGGGTTTCTGTAAATATTACAGGGCTCTGGGGGGGGCAAACTTTGGGCTTTAGGGCTTCTTGAGTTTCAACCAAGCAGATGTCTTCAATGATGTGCTGTAATTTAGGTGGCAGGTACTTTTAAGGTTTATAGTTTATTAATGCTTCCGGTGCTGGACTACTTTTCGAAGAGTTCAGAGTGAGTGCACGATTGGCTCCGTGCTTGCCAAGCTGAGAAGTGTCAGCAGAGTACGTGATTCGAAGTTGAATCCACGGTTTAGGGTTCAGGGCTTTTGGTTAAGCGTTTAGGGTTTAGGGCTAGGCTTTGCACCCACTGCCATCGCCATATTCAGTGTTTCATAGCAACTCGTGATGCACAGCTCCGTTCCATGGAATCTTTTGCTGGTTCTGTGCTGCTGAAAGAGAGGTATACCAGAGGGTTCGCAATAGTTGCAAATTCTGAACCTGCATAGTCCCCATCTACTGTAAACAGATATAAATACCGTACAGTCTACCCCCAAAGCCCCTTTTTGCATTCTTCCGGCCCGTCATGTCCTGTCTATCAGTTTCAGGTGCAGTGCCTATAGTCTCCATTGGAGTTCCTTTTTCTGGTTAACCAAAATTCATGTTATAGGATCCTAACCATAAAACTGGTTAACCAAAAAAGGAACTACAATGGAGACTATAGGTAGTGTCAGACCGAAGAAGCCCCTATACAAACCCCAAACCCCTAAACCCCTAAACCCTGAACCCCTAAACCCGAACCATAAAACTGGTTACTATAGGTGCAGCCTGAAACCTGGCTTGTCAGGAAATGTTCGACCTCGAGCACACGTGGGCAGGGCACCCAGACGCGAGGTTTCCTGGGCTTTTAGTATGGGTCTAGGATTTTTTTAGGAGCCTTTAATTTGTAGAATAGGGTTTTAGGGCCCATTATACTCTGTTTTTAATAAGGAACCCCCAAAATAGTATAGGTGATTATTTAGGCCCCTCTAGTAATTATAGGGTTTAGGTTTAGGGTTCCAGGAAAGGCTGGAGTTTGCCGGACGGCTGAACTGTAGCGCGTTGTTGTTTGGAGAGTTGTTGGTCGAACTTTAAATTTCCCTGGTCTTATAATAGTATACCATATAGGCCCCAAAATAGTTCCTTTTTGGGATTACCTTATGGGATTCTAGATATGAACCCAAAAAGACACTACTATGGGGCCTCTGGGAAATAGCTATAAGCGCTGCTTGTTCCCACACCACGCCGTTTGCCATTGGGATCCGAAAGTACTGGCAACAGGCGACCCGCCAGATTCGGAATGCATCTTGTCATAAGTCATAAGTAATCAAGTACTTGTAGTCTAGGGGGAATTTACCCGCTACGCGCTACATACCACAAAAAGGTCTATAGCCAGAACCACGCGAAACTACAAGCACAAAAGCAACTTCCAGAGCTTGGCTGGAAAGATATCACAGAGCCCAATACACCCTCAATACGAGCTACGGCGGACTTGTAGGAGTAGGGGCTTGTTCATGTATGATTTTGCGTATATTCTCTCACTAACAGGATACTGGGCTGTCTGGTTCCAGAAGTTTTCATCTTTAGGTCTTCTGTATTCTACCTATAGTCTCTATTGTAGTTCAAATTTCTGGTGAGCCAAAATCCATAATATAGGATCCTAACCATAAAGCTGGTTAACAAAAAAAGGAACTACAGTGGAGACTATAGGTAAACCTCAGGCGGCCTTAGGCATTAAACCCTCGGCTCTACATGCTAAGCTTGAGGTCTTCGTCTTAGGCCCCAGGCTGAGTTAGCCTGCTTCCAGGCCTTAGAACAAGGCCGCGTGGCAGCCGTCGGCCATTCCTTGGATGAGGCTCCCGATGTCCATGTGCGTTTATTTCTGTGTATTGCGTTTGGGTACGTCAGTATTGATCTTAGGGTTTAGTACAGTATAGTAAAATACAACATGAAACGGCAGGGCGTCTTCGTGCGTTTCAAAGCTTTTGTGTTTCCTAGTTTCAACAGGTTTTGTGAGATCTACATGTACCTTTGTTGGCACCTCCTTGTTTTGAGGGTTGGCTTGCCGCCACCTCGCAGAATCAAAGGGTTTCAGATTCTGCTCGAAATTGAGCTGAACGAAATTGTGTCTCGGTTGGTTAGGTGTGGGGAACATATCCGACAGACGGATTCGGGAGTTTGCGTCCTGTTTTCCATATGAAAGATGTCCACAGGCAGGGTTCAAATGCAAGTTTGCGAAGTTTAGGGTTTAGGGTTTAGGGTTTCCAGTCGTCGCTTCGCGACGACTGGACATCTCCCCTTATTAGAGCTACGACTGCGACTGGTTTTAGGAGTCTTGATGCCATGCCTGTGCATTAGGCTGGGCAAAAGGAAACAAACGTGTGGCGATCTTGTTAGATGCACACCAAATACCTGTTCGAAGCTGTCCCTCAAGTTAGATGTGTATATACGTAAAATTATACACATATATATATATATATATAGATGTATAACAGAGTATAATGTTTTATTATCGTATTATGCATGTTCAAATGT